CTACAAATCCAAGCGCTGAGAGAAGCATCAATGACACCAAACCGACCGGAATACTGCAAAGTTCCTTCTGTGAAAATCTTTTCCATCCTGGCCGTGAGAAACATGCCTTTTTTTCCAGCCATACCTCGCGCCGACCTGGTCCGGACGGGCTTTTTGCAAGGCGTTGGCACAGCCAAAGAACGGTAATTAAAAATATCTGTTCAATGCGGCTGCATATATTCTTGCATCATCGGTGTTTTCATTGAAATTGTGATGTCTTAAAACGTTTTCGTATGCAAATTTCTTTGTGATATGCAGCCAGTTTTGCCTCGGTTTCCCAACTCGTTTGGTGCCGTAATCAACTCTGGATGCAGTGCTATCAACGAATGATATTTGTCTCATGGGGTCATCATTACTGATTCTAATTATATGCCCAAGTAATTTACATCGTCTGTTCATATGGTAATCTGTTCAAACAAAAGCTCTTGTGGATGATGTCAATCCCGGGTCCCACCAACTATCTTTAGTTCATATCAAGTCCACCACACCTCCTCACATTGACCTTCCCGTGCAGATCCGCTTTCGTAGCGATGCCAGGAGCCCCTATAGTAGCGTCCTTGCTCCTCGTAGCGATGCCAGGAACCCCTAGTAGCTTCTTGTTACTAGCTACTAAAACATTTACATTCAAATCAACATCACTCATTTCCAAAGATCAACCTCACTCCCTTGGCTGTCATATGAGCACCCGCCTGCGGCTTCTCGGTTAAAAGCTCCCGGTGCAATGCGAACCAAAGAAATGCCAGGGCAAAGGCCAACAGCAACCTAGGAATGCTGCCGCACCCAGCGCTGCAGAGAGAGAGAGAGGGAGAGAGAGATAGGAAAAGAAATGTCATGAAAGGACCCAAGCTACCTACAGGTTTCTCAAAAAAGAAGACCGAAGAGCCAAAGTGACAGGGTTGATCCATGTTTTCTTTTGGTTCTCGAGGGTCGAAGATAGGTCTCCCGAAGTACTGCGACACACGCCCGCATACTCATTCTTGTCACTTCGAGCAACAACCAATCCCTCTGCTACTTGCTGTTGGATCAGTTGTCCAGGTCTCTTCGGGATCTTAGGCAGCGCAAACAGCATCCAATTAGGATGTTTCTAAGATGGCATGGGACTTAACACTACCTCTTCCTGATTTTGCTTGGTGACTTCAATGCTATATGTGATCTCAACCTAGTAAAATATGTGAAAACTGAGAATACTTTTTGTAGTTTCAAAGAGTTCGGATGAGACAAGGGAGTTCGGATTGAAGACCATGGCCAGTTGTTGTACTGTCTGTGTCACAGTCAAACACTTGAGGCCAGGGGGAGAGGTCGAAAGCTAGCCGAATCGCACCGGATGTACTAGTTACATAGTCGGCAAAGCATGTAGGGATTACATGTTTTTGGAGGAAGGTTGCTATGTACATACTTTGCGCTAAAGACTGTAAATGTGACATCGCTGACTGGGAAGGGTACATTGGAACAACCCGGGTGCACTCGTTGGCAGGCACGAAGATGCGTGATCGGCAAATCTGGGGGGTAAATTTACCCTCCGCTTTTGTATGCCTTGAGTCGGAAAGAGGGGTAAGCATTTCTGACATCATACGGACTGTACATACACTAGGGCGTCCGTAGTGTAGGAGAAGCACGGGTAAAAGGTATATGGAATAGAGTGTCTTGAGGAAATAGCCGGTGTATGGTTATTGCAAATCTGGGGGGTAAATTTACCCCCCCGCTTATGTATGAAGAGGGGTAGGCATTTCTGGCATCACAAGGACTGTGCATACACTAGGGCGTCCGTAGTGTAGGATA